GGGACGGTGAAATTTTCCGTAAAACCCTCTGAAAAAGAAAAAAAGAAAAAAAGAAAGAAAGAAAGAAAGAAAGAAAGAAAGAAAGAAAGAAGGAAATAGTGATGCGGGATTCCACGCTTTCTCCATTTTTTTTTTTTTTTCTGGAATTCAAGCTCTCCCTTGACTCGCTGTTGCGTTGTGCCTCCTCTCCTGCTAAAATATCGCCAGCGCCTAAACGAGGCTGTGAGATAGGGCTCAATGTAGCAGCCGCAGAAGCAGAACTCACAAGAGGAAACGCACACACGCCCTGAATGCGAACGCGAGATACACTGCTAACCTGTCCATTCAACTAGCCCTACGTTGTTACATGCACCTCAATAAGTTTGCGACGTCCTCCTTGAAGATCACTCACCGAAGTCTTTATTTTACCGCCTTCATGACTGACGCGCGGCCAACTAACTACAACGCAGGTGCATTGAACAAACCAGAAATTACTACGCGAGACATGAGAAAGAAGGCTTCCGCACACTTCATATATGCTTCTTTGTTTCTTTGCTGCGGAAGAGAACAGCTTCAGAGACACGATCACATATACACTGGGTCGCCTTCTTGGTCTTAGAGAAAAAATAGAACCATGAAAAAATTAATCTAACGATCACTTTCACCATTCTTGTACCTCCAACGTTCCTCAGCAATATCTTTCAACAATAGTGTATGTGGCCGTTGAGATTGCTCAGTCAGGCCCAAATGAAGTGTTTTGTTCGCTGAGTTTTCAACGAATTTCTGTGGTTTTGAGTGCCCGAATCATACTGCAGAAAGAAAAAAAAAGAGTATGTATTGCGAAGCCCGTTGCCAGGAATTTTTGTCGGGGGTAGGGGGCACCTTTTGAATGTCTGGAAAAGCATGATTTTTTTTTATTAAAGTCCTTGGTAAAGCACACACCTGCATCCAAATATCGGGGGGGCTAGGACTTTTTTTTTTCCCCTGGCCATGGGCATGTGAGACAACGTTTTCCGTGATTCTGTCAACGGCACTTGTAGCGAGGCTGCGGCACGCGGATAGAGTCTGTAACGCGGGCTCCGCTCAACCCAAAGCTCGCCACCGCCCTCTACGACCACGTGACAGCTGGAACAGCAGCTCTGAGTACAGCCGACCACGAGTGGCTCCTCCCCGACACGCTCTGCTCAGAGGCACCCTTGCACCTGCTGCGGCTGCATTGCCAGCTGTCACGTGATCAAAGAGGGTGAACTTTCTGTCTGAGCGGAGCCCGCATGCCGTAAATTCGTCACAAGCGCCTAATTATATCGATGGCACCGAACTACCGCTGCTGACAAACGTGGAACAGGTCCATATGACTCTCTTTTGAACTCTCTTTTGGAAGCCACGTGAACTCTTTTTTGAAAGCCTCGACTCTACAAAATAATACAACCATCTGCAAAGCGCCGTCACGTGGCTCTTTAAAGAGATCCAGATTGCGTAGCAAATCAGACCTCCCCCCACAAGAAAAAAAAAACTAAGGGAAGATTTTTATATCACTCTTAGAGTACATGATACATGTCATATGAGCACGTCGGAGTGGGGAGCCCCGCAATCATTTTCAGCGCTTGGCGTTCATTCGTCTAAGCATGTATGTACATGGTCGACGGCATCTAACGTGAACACCTCATCAGTTTTCAAGCGGGTAAGAACTAGAACGTTTATCCTACTTCACGAGTGGAATCTCCTTCATATGATGTCTAACGGTGGCCTCGATGAACACAAATATTTTGAGTCATAAGCTTCCATGAGGCCTGGAATGCTGACAAGTGTTCGCCTTGGATGTGGAGGACACGACATCGGTCTTCTTGCATTTCGCGTCCTTCGAAATGTGATTGCCGTGGCTCAAACCCATGGCCTCGAGCTCAGCAGCACGACCACTTAGATGCTAATCTGCTACAATATATTTATTTATGTGTTGTTTCATATATTGTGTATCTGCCACGCTCCCCATTTTTTGCGATACCTACCAAGAGTAGCATGCCAGGTGTGCGGTGCACAAATTTCTCCTGTCTATATTAAAAAGCCTGCCGCTCTCACGTAGATGGTTTTGTTTGCAGGACATCACAAGCAGAATGCAGTTTCACGAAACACTCCCTCTTGATTACAATGATTGATTGATTGATTTGTGGGGTTTAACGTCCCAAAACCACTATTTGATTATGAGAGACGCCGTAGTGGAGGTCTCCGGAAATTTTGACCACCTGGGGTTCTTTAACGTGCACCCAAATCGAGCACACGGGCCTACAACATTTCCGCCTCTATCGGAAATGCAGCCGCCACAGCCGGGATTTGATCCCGCGACGTGCGGGTCAGCAGCCGAGTACCTTAGCCACTAGACTACCGTGGCGGGGGCTCTCCTGATTACAAGAATGCATAACTGGACGAGTTATTTACTTTGCTTAACAGAGTGGGTAGCAGTGTGGTTAACTAGTTCAGTTCACCATTCTTCTAATGATGCACTTAAATTTTCTCCAAGCTGCTATATTTTTGCATTCACTGCACATGTGAATTCTTTTTTTGTAGTACTGCGAAAGATAGAGTTAAAGATACCTGGTACGGAATTGAAAAATCATTTATCCGTCACGTGGTATAGCGGCTAAGCCACCCGGCTGCTAACTCCGTAGGTCACGGAATCATATTTCGGCCGCGGCGGCCGCATTTCCGATGGAGCTGAAATTGCCTGAGGCCCGTGTGCTTAGATTTAGTTGTATGTTAAAGAATCCCAGGTGCACGGTCGAAATTTCCGGAGCCCTCCACTACGGCGTTTCTCGGGATCATATGGAGATTTTCGGATGTTAAACCCCACCAATTATAATGAAAAGTCATTTCATTTCGTAAAGCGTTTACTGCTGTGGTCCAGTCGGTTGTACAAGTTATGCGCCTGACACCGAGATTGGCTATCATTCATAAAGTAACATTAAAATTAAGAGTGGTCACTCTGGACGAAAGCACCGGCGCTACGCAGCTTCATGCCGGCCGTATGATGGCAACACATCAGTCACTGCTTTCAAGGAAACGCGCGTACTAGTTATCTACAACAGTACCTTTTTCTGGTGAACTATATGCCTACGTGGCTTCGCGACTACCACTGCGGCTTTCTCATCTGTCTTTATCGCCTAGCGTGCCCATGGACGGGCAGGATCTGGCATGAGTCGGACGCGAGATATGTGCACATGGAGTCCACACGATGGCAACGTTGTCACGCCTCGTGTTCATGATCATTTAAAGCAATGAAGAAATAGGGACAGCAGCATGGAGGCGCGATAAAAAAAAAATGTGCGATAACGTGCCCGGTGTGTGCCGTGGTCTTCACTTGTTTCATCTGCCTCTCAATTTGGCTGCTGCTAGGTATGAATGCATTCATTACTTTGTAAAGTGCGTGCCGCATTTGTCATCGAAGCATTAAACCAACATTTCTTCATTGGGCTGTTCGCCGCTGAGAGTTTTTCTGTGCTTTTCGCTTCGCCTTTTCTTTTGGTGAATTGCTTCACACGAAAAAAAAAAAGGGGGGGACTGTTTGGCATGCTGCGCAGCAGGTTTCCAAGAAAATTATTTCTTGGATCAAGAAAGTGAGTTGCCGCTCGCGTTCTTGGGATTTCGGCCAGTACACGCATTCGAATTCAATGCATGAGTGAGATCTTGTTAAAAGTGCGGTTATGCTTAGTATCATTATCTGTGGTGTTAGCGAATTGCTTAAAGCTCAATCAGCGCAATAAGAGAGAAGGCGTGAATCTAAAAAAAAAATGTTGGTTAGCTAAAGCTATTGGGCGTAATCTTTGAGTAAACACTCCTGCATAGTTAAGAACTTGCATGGCACCTAAAACTGCTTTATTTCTGTTGCGGCAACTGCTTGCGGCTGTTTTTCGCGAAATCGCGACGTGAAGTGCGTAGGAGAAAACTTGTGCGAAGGTGGGAAAGAAAACGTAGCCATCATTTTTTTTTTCTTTGCTGGGTTCATGGTGGAGTCGAGTGCTGCGGCAACTACTGCCGTGTTGCGTTGTTCACTTTATGTGTAGTTCTGTGCATTTATTGCAGTTTTACTGTGCGGCGGGTCTTCTTTTAATGTTGCATATATGTTCATTTCACGTGGGTAATTGATACTCATGATAGGGCAGCTCTATTTCCGCGTCTTGCAGTACAACGAACCTATCTCTTCGTGCCCGCGTTCATAGAACAGTAACAAAGTGGGTAAGTGTTTACCAACAATACGACTTGAAAATAAAAGTTTTGCTCCTCCAACAATTCCTACATTAAACTGTAGGCAAATGCGGCCGCTCTCTTGTTGTCATTTACCTCAGCAGTAGCCAGCGGTCCCGTCGCGCTGTCCCGGTAACCTACTGGTCACTCGTGTGTCCACATCATGGTGAAGAAAGGGTGGCTGATGCAGTGCACGTATCCCCAGTTCCTCATTTCGTACAATGTTTGATGGCTATAGAGTGCGCTATGTTGCGCTAGTGTTCTCTCGGCTTGCTTCATTCGCATGTGCTTTTCGCATCTGTCACTCCGTATTTGTGTATTGGTTTTTTCCTATCCGACAAGGACGTCGGCAAGAACGGTGAAAGCGCGCGCGCTCGCTATTACAGCTGTGCGAGGAGAGCACGAAAAAAAAAAAAAAAAAGAGGCAGTCGTCGGTGCTACGACAACGCTTACAGTGGGCGAGGGCAACCAGCGTCGCTGTCATAGGGAGGAGGGCACGGGGACAGTGTGTCACGTGGTTGAGTGAGAACGGAAGAAAAGGAGGGTGCTCGCTAGGAAGAGAGAAAATACTAAGCGGAGCAGAAAAAAAAATGAAACAAAAAGTGGCGATTGCACTGAGCTACGCCGTACTGTGTACGTGCGATACGAGGCAGTATCACACACGGGCGGTGCCAAGTGCAGAGAAGGAGAGCAGGCTTCTCTCTCTGGCAGGATCTCCTCCCTGCTTTCAATCCTCCTGCGCGTCGCATCTCTTCCTCGGCTATTATTCGACTCAGTCCAACAAAACGTCACAGCGCTGTGACGCGCCGCGCGCGCGCCCGCGCTTCGCTACGTTTTGCACCCCGCAATCTCCTTTTTTGTTTCTTTCTCGCTCTCCATTCCATCTCCCATTTTCAGTTTTTTTTTTCTTTTGGTATCTAAATTCAATCTTCGCCGCCATAACCTTTCATGCTTTCTTCCTTCCTTTTTCGAGGGAATTTTATCGGCCCTCTCTCCTTTTCACTGCGAGCGACATTTGTGCCTTTGTTTGTGGCGGGAGAAGAGGCTCGTCAGGGGCGGTTGTGAGGGCGTCTTGTGGTGGGTGGTGCTTGTTCCCCGCACGGCGGCAACCGCGGGCGGGATATTCTTCCCTACTTTCCCTCTCCTCCGCCCACACCCTCCTCCCCCACTCTGCAAGGTGTTCACCTGCCGCAGCTTAGTGTAAGAGCTCTGTGCCACCTCCTACACGTCCCACGCTCAAAAGCGCACGGGAGCTCCATTCGCGTGAACCCGCAGCTAGCCCCCGTAGCGTTGAAGCCCATGTGAGGAGTGCGGTCGCATTGTCCGCAACACGGACCACGACGGCGCGTGAAGTTTGACCTACAGAGAGCCCTGGTCGTCAACGGACAGCGAAGCCCGAGCGTCGACCGAGCTCCCGTCGTCACAACAGCGATCGACGACGCCGCCTACGCGCGTTGCGCAACGCGCTTTGACGTCGCGCTGCTGGCACGCTGACAATCGCCGCTCGTTCGGCGAACCGGGAACGGCGCGTCGTTTCTTCACGACTTGTGCAGTCCAGCGCGCGCGCGCCTCGTCAACTGCCGAGCGAAGAGGTGAAACAAGAGGAAGCGGCCATCGCCTGGGGTGCATCGGCGAGCGCGTACTTTGACCCCGCGCCACCTTGGTGGATGGGCACACCCGCGCAGATCACTGACCCCTCCTAGTGAACGCTGGGGTTGACCAACCGGCCAGAAACTTCCACAAGGACATCGGGCGCGGGACTTTATAAACCAGGCACCCGAGTGCATTGACGGAGTTTGTCGGACGCCGCCATCGGATCCTCCACCAGAGAGGGCGACAGGTATTTGTCCCCGGCTAAACGCGAGCCGGCACTTGAGCCCAAGTTAGCAACCTCCTTAATTATCCTTTTCACCGAGTCTCATTTAATTTGTTTTAGAACCACTCGATTAGATGTACACCTGCGAAGGGCCGTAAAGGCGAAACACTGAGCACATTGCCGGGCCGTGTTCGACTAGTTACGAACACGAAGAATCGCCTGTTTCCGGTTGAGGACTCTGCCACCTTGTGACAGACATCACATCTCACCTCAGTCTGTCTCCCCGTTTTCTTTTTCGGGTGTAGAGGCATTATTTTAGACATCCGCTGCCGTCCGTTCACAGTGCAAACCAACCTCAAACGCAGGCTGACTACAGGAGGGCTTCAAGGAGACTTCGGTGGCTGAGTGCACGCGACACAGCAGGACGATGCCGTGGAGTCCCCATCTCGTGCAACTGCTGGCACTCGCGGTTGCGCTGGCTCTCACCGGGCAAGTGGCTCGAGCCTCCGATAACCACGCACTGCTGGACCGGCTCCAGGAGGTGCTGGACAATCCGGCGAGCCGCATCGGGGCCCTCTGCCGCAACGACACGCTCTTCTACCTGGACCGGCTGAGGAACGGCTCACCATGGGCACTCAAGAGTAAGTGTCTTCCGCGTTCGCTCCTCGCGAAGAGCCGCAGCGCGAACTTCGAGGGCGCCTCCGGTCTCGGTGCGGAGTGTAGGTCACAGGGGCTGCGACCCACGCTCCGCGCTGCGCGACGCCGCAAAGCGATCCTTTCGCGGTGCAATTTGAGATGCCATGTCGCCGCATCGGCTGACGAGCTCCTTTTGTATGGAGACGCCTACTGCGCCTCGATCGACCGCGGCCTTTGAAGGCTCCGAAATACTTGCGCCGCATGACGGCACAGCTTGCATCGCGGTGCCTGGACACAGGCTAGAGGCGCACTTGTATGTGAAGATAATAGTAATTCTGGATAGGGTAGTTTCCCAGGCACTAAGATCGAGGACACGACCGTACAACGAACGGTGTTTTATCAATGCGAACGTTTTATTCTGAAAACCGGTGGAATCTCAAGCACGTCTCTGTGCATTGGGAGGTGACACAAGCTGATTTATTCATCACCCTTCCACAGCAGGAGTGGGAATTACAATGATTATAGACAAGCCATAGCAACCAGTTGTAGTACTTTAGCCGAATGCCCGGCTGAAATTTTGTATACAATCACATCGTTATTATAGGAAGTTATATATAATATATATATATATATATATATATATATATATATATATATATATATATATATATACGGCTTATTTTTGTTTGTCGGTGAATGGCAATCGCCATTGTCCAAGCTCAATAATGACAAGAGACGTGGTACAATCAGTTAGCATAAGAATCGCGAGATCCTTCATATATATATTTTTTAATGTCCCCGTGAGCAAATGAGCACCATATGTAGGTGACGCATATCAATATTCCGTCAGCGTTTTCATTCTATACCGGTGCTCGCACCTGCTCAAGTACGACTCAGAATGATTTGCGGACCATCTCCGCTTCTCGAACCGACTGATATTATCGCTGATTAATGGATAACTTCTGAATGAGTGAAACAGCTCTGTAGGCAGCGATTTGCTAGTGATCTTATTTCCTGTTCCGCCTTACCACCGAGGGAGAGCATCGTGCTCGACAACCACGCCGTACGTGTATCGCATTGTCATGTAACGGTGACGCTGTCAAACCAGCTCAAAAATTACCTTTTGTTCCGTTGTCCACTTAGGCTGTTACCGGCGGAACACCCTCTCTCAGTTTTCTTTCCGCAGTTGCAGTCTGGCATTTAAAAATGAAAGCCTGCATACTGCGTAATTAAACGTCGCTCATAACTACCCCTAAAAGGGGTCCGGTCACTGCGAGGAACAGCTTGTTTGGAAGCGCCGTCACTCGCGAGCCGCATGCAGTGGTCGGCGGCTCATGCGCAGGACTCCTTCGGAGTAGGAAGAGTGGAAGGGGGTAAAAAAAAAAAAAAGGCGCGTCAGTCGACGACGTTCCAACGCTCGGCGACCTTGGGAAATAATCTAGCAAGCCGAGCGTGAAAGAAGCAAAAATAGCAAGAACAATGACTGCGAAACGGAAAGCGGCATATATAAAAAGGAGGCGCCGCCGGCTCTCAACGAGGAAACGAGCACGGCCCGGGAGGTCTGCTCCGTAATTTCTATCTTTCTTTTCGCCGAGGGCTGTCCTTGACTCAGATTTTTGCGATGCGCTCCTTAAGCGCGCTTGTTTGTGGAAAGACGGGGTTGCGTATATGTGGGCATGCGTGCGTATCTATGCACATACCAAGCAGCTCCCTCGGGCCACTCGTTCATTTCACTTTTTTTTTTTATTTAGCTCTTCGATGCTGCTTTCTATCTCTTTTCTGCTGTTTCGTCTGGGCGGACGTGACGGCGTTAAGAGTTGTCTCCCAAGGTTTGTAAAAGGTGCTTTACGAACCTTGACCCGCAAACCACAGCGCCGTATACCAATGGCAGGCCAATGGCGCGAAAAGGAGACGACCCATATATAAGCGGCCGCCATTTGCTCGCTCCTATAGCGTAACACGGGGAGTCGAGCAATGATAACAACAAAAGAATGTGCGAACGGCGGCCGTGGAGCTGATGTGACTCCGCCGTGTTCTATACAATGCAGTACCCGGCTGCGTCGTGACATTCAAAGAGTTATTATTCAGAACAGAGTGTAATGTATCCTACCGAGGCGAGAGAAAATGTAGCTCCTTTTCGTTTGGAGCGCTCTTCACGTCATTTCCCGAGCATGTGCGCAACTTAGTTCATGCTGGAGAAGTTCATGGTGAACAAAAGGAACCGTTACGCGAAACGCACACATGTTTTGCGCGTAACCGCACGCCGTCGTGGAGCGTGTTCAAAGCGCACGCTCACCGTAAGCTGAAATGTGTATGCAGCTTTCCAGCGAGAGCTTGCGCAATCAAGCGCGGACAAGAGGAAGGCGGCCAGCTAGTGCTCGTCTTTGTCGAATTTCCGTGCTTGCCTGACGTGCACGTCATAGCTTGCCTTTTTTCTGTCTTCTTCATTTTTTTTTTTCGTATTGACGCTGATATGTGTGCCGACTCGGAGGCCCCAGTACAATGTTTGTTAAGGTGCATACACTTTTTCACTGGTTGCATTTTGGCACGTAGTGTTTTTTTAGATGCGGAGCATCTTATACTCGCGCCTTGTAGTGCGCCGTCCGCACGGCTTCTCGAACATTCGACAGCTGACGCGCGCGCATGCGCCGTCGCGCCGTCGCCCACTCTTCCACCATCTGTGCATCCCTTCCTCCTCTACACACCGCGCGCGCTTCACTCCTCCACCATCTGTGCACCCTTCCTCCTCTACACATCGCGTTCGACATCTACAATTCTCCTGATTCTCCAGTGGACGCGCATGTGGCGTCGCGCTTCGAGAACATTCAACAGCTGACAGTGCATGCGCGGTCGTGCTGTATATATACTCAAGGTCGGCGCTCGCTCGCTCAGTTGCCGCTCGTCGGTTGGTTTGTACGGCGCGTCGACGTCCAAGGTCGCGGTGAAATGAATTCCAACGAATCCACAAACACAATGATCGACGTCCCTTCGACCAGCGCCGCCCTTTCGCATACGTGTGTACGTGTTCACTCATTTAACACCCCCTCCTACAACCACGTTAACCAATTTAGCCATCGACCCAAGTAAGTCGCAATTTAACACCCCATTTCACAACCACGTTAACCAATTTAGCCATCGACCCAAGTAAGTCGCACTTTAACACCCCGTTAACCAATTATATGGTCCGCATCCTCCTCAGTGTTCCCCCGAGGGAAGCTGCGGGCAATTTTTTTTTTTCGCGCTCGCCCACTGCCCCGTCCCTCATGCTCGAGTGGCTCGTTCGTGACTGCAGTGACGTCATCGCACAGACCATGAGATGTTTGCAGGTTTCCCGGGAATAAATTTCACGCTTAAATATCTCGCACAATTTGCACGTATTTCTTGTCTACCCTTGATTAAAGCTACCGGCTCCAAAATATGGCGTTGCTCCCCGTGGTGCTTGCCGATTGTGCGCGTCTCGTGCTTGACAGTTCACGGTCGACCTGCTCGCTCGGATTTCACTCGCTTCCATTGCTGAGGAAATTTCCTCGTCTCGAACCCGGAGCGTCTTTGGCTGCGTGCATGAGTCGATTGATTGATATGTGGGGTTTAACGTCCCCAAACCACCATATGATTATGAGAGACGCCGTAGTGGAGGGCTCCGGAAATTTCGACCACCTGGGGTTCTTTAACGTGCACTGCGTGCATGAGTCGCCGTCCGTAAACACGTGTACGAAGCCACCGGCATGGGTGATGAGTTCGTTGTACTCTTATACTTCACATTCATTGTCCATCAACGAACGAGCGCCGGAAATGCGATGACGCAGTGTTCCTGCGGGCACCGACCGATTCGCTCCTACGACAGACTCGATTTCAAGCATCGCGGATGAATGGAAAAGAACATTGATGTGTGCCGCTTTTTTTTTATTTGCTTTCGTGCTGATAACATAGTTTGCGCGCCTCCGTATCCCTCGTACGCGCACGTCATTTGGGAAAGCTTCCGAGCAAGGAGTAAACTGCCGATAAAGATAGCGTCGAATATTTGCAAGTGTGTTTCGTGATTTGGGGCAAGCTCCACGCTGTTTAACATCATTATATGATTTGTAAGGCTGCTTCAATTGAAGGTCATCATGCGAAAGTCTTGTCCATGCATACTCACGGTATATAGTATGCGAAATCACGCGACAACTCGGGCATGGACTGATTCGGAAGCATTTCACGAACGACAGCAGCCTCGCTATACAGTTGCGGAATTCTTTTGTGATTAGGTTCAAGGAACGACGTGTTGCCCTCGTGTAGCATGAGTGATCGCGTTTCATTACTGTCCTCGCTGAAGCGGAATAACAAATGAGCGTTTTACTAACTGAACGTGTTGCTGCCTATGTTCTTATGGACGGTGACAGATGGGGTGTGGTCGGACATTACATTACCAGCACTATAGTTGTACCCTGTTCATAATTTCCGTAAATGTTCAATCGCGTGAACGGAGAGGCTATAACCATACTGTAGCACTCACCTTGTATTTTAATTTATCGCAATAAAGAGTGTCAGGTTGTTTTGTCACACCTACCTGACGTCTCATGTGTCGCGCACCACAGACGATCGCTCCCGATTTCACCATACTGAGCGCTGACCGCTATATATGGGAACTGCAAGCCATATCGACTCAGTGTCTTTCGTTTGGAGTTCGTTATTCTCGCTTGTTTGCAGAGGGCCATTTCTAATTTTGACCGTATTAGATGACAGTTCCTCTGCAAGCAGACGCGGCCGCTCGAAGATCAACGAGCTTGCTGTTTTCTTTCTTTCACGTTGCCAATCCTTTTTCGAATATGTGCAGCATTTCCGGCGATGTTTACATAGTGCGTGTACGCATTTTACCTTTCAGTGTAGGAGTTGGCGCAAGTTGTGCGGCTCTGAACTTCCAGAAATTGAGTGGAGATAGCAATTATGAAGAATATCAGTGAGCGAATGTATCTTTACTGAGTGCGAGATATGCCAGTCTTTCACACGCTCAGGACTCACGGAA